ATGGTAATGAGGATAATGATGATAACGATGAAAAACTATCAATGCGATTAGGTCAGTAAAATTACAGAAGTTATCGACAGAGTTTCACTCGTACGGCTTTGGAATTTGTATTATTTCAAATTATTCTATTTACCTAATGTATTTTGATTTTTTTTACTTTTCTTATACGTGTGTGTGTGTGTTTGTATATGTGTTTTTCGTATTTTTCGTTTTCTACACATTAATACCGTACGACTATTTGTGACGTTTGGAGCATTAAGCATGAAATTAAAATATCGAATGAGTAAATCGAATCGTTAACGCGGGCGCGATCAAACGCTCGATTTGTCGTATTAGGACGCATTAATAAGAAAGAAAAAAAAAAAAAATGAGAGAGGGCAGACGTGAAGGCTCACTCGAACGATATAATAGATAAATGATATCGCTGTTATAATCGTAGGTATCATATCTTATATACGTACGATATATTTGCGAGCTGGATCTGATCCAATCACACGTCATCACAAGTGGCTAACGTATAGATATTACAATAATTTTTTATATTTATATTTATATTTATATTTATATTTATATTTATATTTATATTTATATTTATATATATATATATGTTTATAAATATATACACACACATATCTGATCTATATATGCGTCTGCATATATCTATATACATACTTATATTTATACGAAATATTTACACATCCATTCGCGAGTTTGATCTAACGTCCTCCTCTTTCTTATCGATTAAAAAGAGTATATCCTTAATGATTCTTTGGCAACTCGGGCTGTCGGCTGGTCGACTTTTATATTTATATGTATATTTATGTATATATATATATATATATATATATATATATATATACATATGTATGTATAATATTTATATGTAATGTGAATGGGCGATATATACAAGAATGGAACAGCGTACACTTACAAGATGGACAAGATAAACGCGATCTATCCGAATCAACTGTTGAAACGTGCAAAATCAGCGAAAACATATTTCCCTTAACTTTTTTTTTATCAATTTCCTCGGCTTTAGAGTACGACGAGAGCTAGTTTTCTTTTTTTTCTTTTTTCCTTTTTCTTTTTCGTTTTTTTATTTTTAATCATTTTTTTCTTCCTCGGCTCTTTTATTCGTTCGTTTCTTTCATTTTCTTCTTCTTTTTTTTTTTGCTTTTGTTTTGTTTCGTTCTCTTTCGTTCTGTTATTTGTTTCGTTTGGTTTTTTGTTATTCTAGATTTACGTGGACATATTTACACGAATGTACGTTCTATAATCCCCCGAGGCTGATCTTGTATACTCGAGCGGTCAGCTTTCCCATTGTGCGAGGATCTTTCCAATCGGACAGCTCCTTCTGGTGTCATCTGAATTATACAACAAACGTGTGATATAATAGATAATCGTTTGAACTTAACGATATCGTAACGATCTTTATCTATAGATAAAAGTTTTATGCCCTAAAGTATCTTGAAGAAAAACGTAGAACACTCGACACACTTCCATAAGTCATAAAAATGGCCATCCGATCTTCCGTGGTAGTAATAGCGATTTTTAAAGAGCTATTATCGTATATCGTGCGTTTTATAATGTGACGCGGGGTGCACGGGGGAAACGGGGAAATATATAAATTAAAGAAAAAAATGAAGACAGAGAGAAGAAACATAAATAAGGAAGAGGTGCAGTGATTGAAGATTTTGGAACGCGACTGGATAATACTTACGAGGGACGTAAATACAGTTCCGTTTATGAGGAAGAAACGGTCGATTACAGCGGTTCTGAACGACGTGAGGCGACGCTGCAACCGAAGATAGGCCGGCATCATTGCGGTAATATCTTGCAGCTCGCCTCCATACCCTCAGGTGGCACGCGCATACTGCCGTTCGTGATGTAACCGTTCGCATCTACCGTCACCGAAACACCCGGTGGATGATTGTGATAGCTAACGTTCCTTTGGCTAACCACAATGTTCTTCTCGGATATGCCATGATCGTTGCTACCATGAGCGGCCAGACAAGTCTCACTTCCACGATTGCTCGACGAAGATTCGATCGGATGGTCCACCCTTATGGGAATCGTGTAGTCGGACAGGTACTCGGTGCTCACCTCCACCGTCGCATATTCTCGTATCATCGGTGGTGCTGACTTCACAGGATAATCCATTGCCATGTGCTGCATCGAGGATGCCGATCTAATCTCGTTCGGATCATTACTACTCATCGTTGCCACGTGCCCGTTCGCCATCGCATAGAGATCTGGTTCACCACGTACTTTCGACGACAGCATTGCCTCAAGACATTGATAGAGCAGGACATAATCCTCCTAATATTAAACAGGTTTTTTTTTTCTTCTTCTTCTTTATAACAATGATAATATTAAATGTAAAAGAAATATGATTTATTATTTTTTACCTTCGATCGGAATACACCCGGTCTCTTCATATATAACAATTTTGCGAACATGTAAATGTCCGCGGATTGTTCGAACTCGAGTTGTTTGTTCAAAGTTGTTAGAAGTACGAAGAGAGCAGCCTCGACGCCACCGTACCTGATACAAATGATTACGATAGTCGTTGCGATTACGTATTTATATATATATATATTTTTTTTTCTTTCTTTCTATTAAAAACGCTCGATAAAAATGTAATCACCTATCCATAACGACGATTGGACCATTTTGATAATCTCTATGAAAGTCTTGTATCACATTGACGAATATTTTGGGGTTATTATTGTGAGGCCACAAACCACCTTGATTCAATGGTCCTTGAACGATTCTTGCACTTAATTCGTAATCGTCCTGTAAAGATCGGACGGCTACCTCCCGTAGAATAATTCCACTGACTGTTTCTTTAATACCACATAATCGTACTCGGAAAGTTTCTGATTCCAAATCCTTTCCTTCCGTTGGCCAAAACTCGGGATATTCCTGTATGAAAAAATTTTAATTAATATAAAGGTACGATATCTTTGAAAAATAATTATGAATCATGATTAATTTTATATACCTCGTCGCATTGAGTCAACATTACGATCGTCTGAGCATTATGGTCCCACATCATTTGCCAAAACTCCATTATGGTATTCTCCATAGGATGTTGAGTTATAATAAATTCACGATTCCTTTGGAATCCTGTCAATGAACATTTCGTTAATACAAAGCTTCACGAACGAATGTCAAAAATATAATAGTAGGATTTAAAAAGAAAAAAAGGGAAGAAAAAAAAAAAAAAAAAAAGAAAGAAATTATCATTACCTGAGAACCACGTTGCGTTTATATAATCACTTCCATCAACACCAGGTTTTGGTGTTAAATGTACACGAGCATTTTCAATTGGTATTATCTCCATATTACGATTTTTATGAATGTTACATGATTTGGTCGCGGACACGAGATTGAAGTCCTTTGGTTTCCACGACGTCACGAGCTATATTAAAAAAAGAAAAAAGAAAAAAAAAAAGAAAAATAAGAAAAGAAACGAAAAAAATGAACAATCGTTAGATTTAATCAAAAGAAGAAAAAAAAACTACTATGCAACGAACGAAATTTATTAATAAACGTCGTGATAATTACTTTATATTGAGAATCTAAGTTATTCCAGGCATCTGTCTTATTATTGGACGGGCATAGCATGTCTTGAATATGCTGCATCAAATTATTAGCTTCTATATTGGTCTCTCCACTTTCGATTGCCTCTTGCAAAGCATCATGAATGAAAATGTATTGTTCCTCTGTTTGAACTAAAAAGTTTCTCTGCGTTCGAATGTGTTTTAAAAATCCAAATACATTGATCTCGTTTTTGCTCTTGGCCTGTTTCAGCATGGCATCGATCACGATATAGGTCCCAGTACGTCCAACTCCGGCGCTAATATTATTATTATTATTATTATTATTATTATTATTATTATTATATGAAAAAAATAATCATTAATAAGTAAGAAAATGGGAGATCATTGTTTCTCTTTCTTTCTTTTTTTTTTCTTTTTTGTTTTTGTTTTTATTTCATTACCTGCAATGGACCACTATAGGACCAGCTTCGGGTGGATTAGCATTAGAGGATTTACGAATAAAACTGAGAACAGGTAGAGGATGATCAGGAACACCATGATCAGGCCAACCGGTATAATGATATTGCCATATCGTACGTTCTCCCATATTGGTCCCATTCTTCTTCTTCTTAATCTGCTTAAAATTCGAAAACGATCGTCTTATTAAGTATCGGCGTTTGCCGTTTCAAAAGGGAAAAGAAAGCAAAGAAGAAAAAAAAAGAGAAAAGGAAAGGAAGAAAAAGATAATTCTTCCTTAACAATTATTATAAACATATACCTTGAGATGTCGAATTTGAAGAGTACGAATAGTATAAGTTGCCATAATGTCCTCCCTTACTAAAGTAACTTGAATGTAACCATAAGTTTCGGTGCCTTCTTTGGGCCAATACATATCACATTTTCTCTGTAAATAATAATAATAATAATAATAATAAAAAAAAAAAAAAAAAAAAAAAAAAAAAAAAAAAAAATAGATAATTTTCATTAAAAATAATATACCAAAATATTATTCGTTTATATAATAAATCTTATTTAGAAAAAACTTACACGACCACGTTCGACAAGATTAGTGATCATCACTACGATCGATACGCGTTGTTCCCAGACCATACGCCAGAAACCATCGAAGGTCGGTGGTAAAGGTCCTTGAGTTCCAATGTAAGCTCGTGCACGTTGCCAACCATCGATGTAATTTGCGTTTACATAATCTTGTCCCTTTTTAGGTGGCCCTCCGCCGCACGATAACAATTGTACACGCGTATGATCGTCTGCGTAACACATGGAAATTTATTGCATCTTATATTGCAAGATTTCTTTTTTCTTTCATTTTTTTTCTTTTTTCTTTTTTTTTTTCTTCTTCTTCTTCTTTTTAAATAAATAAAACGTACTACATTATTTCGTAATAAATGTCATTGGAAACGAGCGTTATCATTTCGACGTAGTAAAAACGAAGTCGATATCGCGGAATGTGATGAATACATACAGGTAACTTTATCGTTCCACGAAAACAAGTGGACAGTGTCCGGCTTGGTGGTGGAGGATCTGTGACCTCGTTGTCGACAGACAGGTCACTCACATCAAAAGCAATGACGAGAGCTACTCGTTTAATCCGATAATATTGTGAATGATCGAAGCGAATTTACAGTACTTGTGTCACATATATACACGTATATATTGAAATGACTCACTAGAAATAAAACAACGAAACATCTGTCTTGACTTTAAGAATAAATAAAAATTATATCATTCTTACAAAGAAATTATGTCGACAATTATACTTGATGTAATACGAATTCATGACTTTGACAAAAGATCTGACCAAAAAAAAAAAAAAAAAGAAAAAAAAGACATTTTTTTTTTCTTTCCTTTCCTTTCCTTTTCTTTTCTATTTGCACTTCTTTTCATTTGAATAGACATTAGTTGAATTCGATCATTTTTCGTGACTCACTCTCTTGTGCATGTATACACACATATATATATATATATATATATATATATATATACACATATATATGCGTCATTCGTCGCAACAAAGAGTATATAACGTTTATACGATCTCATCTTTCTCTTTTTCCTCCTTCACTTCGAAGAAGAACGAAAAGTCGGGATAATTATATAAGAAAAAATAATTGTATCGGATGTATGACAAAAAAGAAAAAAAAAAGGAAGAAAAAAAGAAACAAAATTAAGACTAAGAAAATAAATATTTACATGCGAGTATGTTGAGGTATCGATTCTTCGCCTTATTTTCAGCGAATTGCGAGTTCTCAACGGTGTAACCTCCGCTCTCCGATTGAATAATCTCGTATTCCTTGCTGAATCCGATGTCACCATCGGCGTGCAACTTGGCGACATGTTGAACGAATTGTTGAACGCTTACGGCGGTCCTTTCGCCATCTTGCTCACTGTTCTCCCATTCTTGAAGGGTCGGCACATTTCGTGGTGGATAATCCAGATAGTAATAGGCCGTGTGAAAGCATTTTCTGAAAATTGGCCTAAAGATACATAGTTTTAATGAATTATTCCTTCGATCTTCGATGAAATCTTTTTTCTTTTTTCCTTTCTTTTTTTTTACATCTTTGAAAAATTCTTTTATTCGTATGTTTGCATATTTGCTATAAAAAAAAAAAAAAAAAAAAAAAAAAATATATATGTATATATATATATATATATATATACGTCGTTGTTACAAAGAAAAAGTACCTAATTCTTATCTTTCCAATTTTTATACATTATACGCCGGACAGGAAGAAGCAATTAAGGAATAAGACTGATTGGACTCTATCATACTAAGTGCTAAATTATTATCAAAATTACCTTAACATTTCTTTAAATATATTATTTCACTTTTTCTTCTCTTTTTTTTCTTTCTTTCTTTTTCTTTCTTTCTTTTATTTCTTTATTTTTTATTTTTTTATTTTTTTTACTTTTTTTTCTTTATTTTTATTTATTATATATAACATTTATTCGTCGAAGAAAAAATAAAAAAGAGAAAGAGAGAGAGAGAGAGAGAAAAAAATAAGTGTGAGAAAGATATCAAAGGCTACGCGAAGATACAAAACATTATCAGTCGTTTTTTTTTCATAATCGATATCGATCGTTCGATAAATCGATTTATCTTCGAGGACGCCTTTTACGACAACGTTTTTTTATTCGTGATAGATGAAAAAGAAAGAAAGAAACAAACAAAAATATATTTATCACGAAAAGGTGAACTCAGTTAAAGCGAGGAAAGGTTAACGATCTTGACACTTTGCGTGATCGATTATTTCACGTCAAAACTATTTCGCTTAGCCGGATACGTTTCCGCAATTTGATATGAAATTAAAATGTTTGAATAATTGTAAGACTTACACATCGTGCATTTAAACGAAACTTATTATACATGTTCAATAATTTTTCGTTTCTTCCTTTTTTTCTTTTTTTTTTTTCTTTCGGTCACACGATACGCGATATACCGTTTATAACGTTATTAACGTGCAACAAACACAGTTATTAACACAATACAAACTGAATTTCGTAGAAAGAAACAGTTAGAAATATTGCGCGTTACGTTTACAGCGATATCGGGATATCGATTAAATCGTTCAATAAAAGGGTACGAATGGTAAAGTGGAAAAAAAAAAAAAAGAAAAAAAATAGGGACGAATGAAATAAACCGGTGCGAATAGTGAAGTGTCATCGTGGATTTAAAAGTCTTAACTTAAATCATGATAACACGATTTAAAATAATTGAACAAGACAAATAATTATACGATCTAAAACATTTATATGATTTATATTATTATATTTTTATGATTTGTACGTTGCTTTCGGATTAAAAAAAAAAAAAAAAATAAGGAAAAAAAAAAAGAAGCAGGGGGTGGGGAAAAAGAAAAAGAAAAAACCGGTCAGGAACGTTTGGTCATGAAAACACGAATGACTATATTTGTAACCGGTTAGTAAAGGTATTAACTCGCGTCCGGCGCGGGCGCGAGTACAATGTTAGTATGTGTTAGTGGCACCTCGATTTTCGTGGGAAAACGACGTGACGTCGCATTTATACGCTCTCCGATGAATCGTATAAGCCTTCATCGGCATAATTCATACGATCCGAATGAAAACTCATGTAATGAGTATTTCAACGTACGTAATTTTATTACGTCACTTTGAGAATTGATCGAAAAAGAAAAAAAAAAAGAAAAGAAAAAGAAAAGAAACCAATTAAATTATAATTACTTTTAATAAATTTTATATATAATAAAATTTATTTCCCATATGAATCCTTCGAATTCAAGAAGAATGACATTCAATTCATATTTTCGTTATCCTAAATGACAGAAGTGGAACAAAAAAAGAAAAAAAAAAAAAAAGAAAAAGTATAAAAAAAAAAAAAAACAAAAACAAAGGAAACGAAAGAGAAAAAAAGAGAGAGAGAGAAAACTTACAGATCAAGAAACTTCTTCATTTCGTTTCGTAACTTTTCCAAGGGCCCATTGCAGAGACACACGTTAATAGTTATTTGATTTTAATCACTAATTAAAATATAAATCACACGATAGGAATGACGAAAACTCGAAGGAGAACTCGAATAAGTAGAAAAAAGGAAGACCTAGGATGTTCCAACATGTAAACGCACGTCCCTGACCCAAAAATGATCCCATTTAGAACGTAATCCTTGAAAGATCATCCTTGGCCATCATCATCGTTTATATAGTACATACACACATATAACGATATCTCCTTCGTTTTATTTAGAATTTAAAATGATTAATATCGATACAATTCGAAACACACATATCACACTTCTCTGTTTTTATTTTATTTTATTTATTTTTTTTTTTTTTTACTTTCTATCTTTTTTATTTCTTTCTTTTTTTTTCGTTTCTTTTCTCTACTTTTTTCTTTCTTTTCTTTTTCACTTTTTTTTTCAACTTAATTCGGTGTCTCTCTCACTCAAGATTATTCCTCGCGAATACGACGACGGTTATCGACTGTACGAAGAAGAAGTAGAAGAAGTAGAAGTAGAAGAAGAAGAAGAAGAAGAAGAAGAAGAAGCCTTAGTATATACACGTCGTTCTAACTCCGTCTGTTATCACTAGCGATAAGGAGATAGGCTGAGCGTGAGAGACGATGTTATAAAAAGACAGAGAGAGAGAGATAGAGAGATAGAGATAGAGGGAGAGAGAGAGAAATATATATAGAGGGATAGAGACAGATAGTAATAGTATATAAAGAGGGGGACAGTAAAATGAGAAAATGAAATGGACAGCTGACAACGTTAACGACATTTCGAAAATCGTTTGCCGTCCCCGTTAACATTTCCCTTTCCACCACTAAGCAACGATTAGTTCGCGTATCGTGAAAAAAAAAAAAAAGAAAAAACAGTGACTCGAGCCGACCACGACGAATGCTTCGAGGAGACTGAAAGAGAATGCTCCTCGTATATACACGCGTACGAGATCACGCGCGCATGATCTTTCCCAAGACTGCCAACATTTCTCACAGCGGCAACGGCAATGTACATACGTATTGCGAATCTGATAGCTGAAGGTTATTATATCTCATGTGATTTTCAGATTTACATTTTACGATATACTTTCACAATGTATCTCTCGATGAAATTGTTTGTTTCCTTTTTCATTTTCTTTTTCTCTTTTCTTTATCTTTTTCTTTTTTTTTTTTTCTTTCTTTTTAATGTTTATTCAATAACATCGGCCTATCCGAAGACCGTCGAAAATTTATTTATTTATTTATTTATTTATTTATTTCAATGATAATTATTATACAAGACGCAGTTACTTTTTCGACAGATAGATTTTACGATACTTTTTTAAAGTGTATTTTTTGCTTTTTGTTTTTTTTTCTCTTTCTTTATTTCTTCCTTTCTTCGACGAAAGAAAATCTTTTTCGAAGGTGATATCATTTGAACGAATCTCCTGTTTGTTACGTTCGTAATGAAAATATTATGAGAAAGTATTTATTTTATTTAGAGAGAGAGAGAAAAAAAAAAGAAAAATAAATAAATAAATAAATAAATAAATAATTTAATAAAACAAGATAAACCTGATATATTTAATACGAATGCGAATAGGTATAACTATATCGAGTTATGTAGAAGAGGATGATTCTTACTTCCAGAGAACGAAGGCTGTGATCGCTAGCATGACGGCGAAGCAAGCACAAACCATGCCAGCTATCACACTAGCACTGAGATCCTTGCTGCTACGACGTTTTAATGGTGGAATCTTATCGCAGTCATGAGTAACCAAAACGTTCCGTGGTGCAGAACTTTCTCCTTGTATAATCAATCGATCGTTGATTGTACTTTTCGTTGCTCCACGTATGATAAACTCGTAAACCGTGTTCATCGTTAAATTTGGTACGATCATCTAAAGAAACAAATACATATTCGAAATATTAAATTAATTCTTAATCTGTTGAGTTGTAAAATTATATATATATATATATATATATATATATATATATATATATACGGGGAGAAAAAAAAACAACAAAAAAAAAAGGAAAAAAAATTTGTTACTATTCTCTCTTACGCCACTTTCAAGATGATTCTTCTCGGCTGTTGATTCGATTTCCTCATAATATTGACTTGTTTCCGTACGATAATTGATGTAATAATAATCGACGGATCCCCAAAAGATCGATGGCCTTGCCCATTGAATATATACTGAATCATGCGATTGGCAAGTCAAATTTAAAATTTGTGGCTCGCTTGGTCCAGCGATGTCAGTCCTACGAATAATGTGACCGGATGGTTCACCCTCGTATTTCAACGTGTAAGCTTTCACCCATATATCATAGACGATGTAAGGATCTAAAGTAGAAAATAGATAAGGACAATTTTTTTTGTTTTTTTTTTCTTTTTTTTTTTTTTTGATTATTAACTATCAAAAGATATGTGCATCTTCATTATCTACAATATTCTACACTAATCATAACGATTAATATTAATACAATGATAACACGTATCTATTCTTATCTTGCTAATCCTTCTTCCTCTCTCTCTTCCCCCCTCTCTCTCCTACCCTCCCTCCTTCCCCCTCCCCCCAGTCAATATCTTTATCTCTCTTTTATTAACAAATGTTATAATCGTTAAGCTCGATTTAACTCATACTTACCTAAATCTTTTAATACAAACTCAACGTTAGGCCCGCTGTTGTCATATATCTTGAGAGTTTGAACGTCGGTGTAATTGGAATGCAAATAATAAACACGATACCCGGTTATAACGCCGTTGGCACTTTCTGGCTCGGACCATGACAGTTCTATGGTAGTCGAAGTTATTCCACGTGACGTGAAATTCTGGGGTTTCGTTGGCACTGAAACAAAATTTCCGAGGAAATTAAAGTTAGATATTGCGGACATTGATGACAAAATAAATTTCAATATATATATATATATATGACATATGATGATATTTCAACGTCGTTGAACTCGTGCGTTTTAGTTAATGTTTAGATTATTGCGTTTTAGTATTCTCACATTGACAAAAGGAAGAAAAAAAAAAAAAAAAAAAAAAGAATACGAAGCATTTCGCAAAGCTTTTTCCGGCAACTCTCCTTCTTCTTTTTCTTCCTCTTCTTCTTCTTCTTCTTCTTTTTTTCCTTCCTCTTCTTCTTTTTCTTTTTCTTCTTTTTTTCGCCATTTTCTAAGATAGCCTTCCAATCTTCCACATACAAAGGCAAGTGCGAAGTTCCGACGACCGAAGACTGAATAATTAATAACGACCTCGAGTGTCTTCTCAGACCCCTCGTGCCGACAAGCAACTAGACGCTATTCATTTTGGTACATGGAACCAGGAGTGGAACTCCTTTAAGACTGGTACTGCATATTCTGTGCGTGGAGAAAAAGCTTTCCGCTTTATTTATCGGTTTTAAGTTTTCCCTACCAGAAGGGAGAGTGAGAGAGAAAGAGAGAGAGAGAGAGAGAGAGAGAATGACAAAGGCATGGAAAAATGAAATGGACTGAAAAAAATATGCATCATACATTTTTCTTAGCTAGTTTAAAAAATCTTCTTTTTATCCTCTTCGTACAATCAACAATATACTCATAATATTATTTTCATCGTTTAAAAGAGAAACATTATTTTCAAAGTTATTCACGTTAAATTAATAAACCATTTTAATAATATCTAAACGAACAGAAAGAATAATGACAAACTTCGATGAAATCGATATTATCTCGTGGCACGATTGACATCTTCGGTGCTTCGACGTAATGTGATCCTAGTTGTGAAATTAAAAAAAAAAAAAGAAAAGAAAAAAAAAAAAAAGAAAAAAAAAATAGGAAAGAAGAAAAAACAAAAAGTAAAAAAGAAAAAAAAATAAAGGTTCCAGGCTGTTAGATGAAACTCAGAAATTAATTAACCGTGCAAATTGATTCGAGCTCCTGCAAATGCCCGCCATATAATACCTAACTGATCGTCGAACGAACATACATACTGATATACATATACATATATATATATATATACATTCACATATACATATATATACATATACAGATACAATTTTACATAAGAATAGTTTTTGACATTGTTTTGGTATACGTATTCATCATTTTCGCTTGGTTGTTCTCCCGCGAACAAGTGGATGCGAGCGAGAATTAATATCAAAAAAAATAAATAAAGGGAGAGAGAGAGAGAGAGAGAGAGAGAGAAAAGAAAAAGAAAAAGTATAAGAGGCAACGAAGAAGAAAGAAGACGACGTATCGATTTACTTCGATTATAGGTACGAGTAGTGCTTCGTCTCGTTTTTCGCTGTCTACAACTGTCACGTCGATTCCGTCGACCTGTTTTATTCAACGAAAACGTAAACGAACGCGTTGACTATCATTAAAGATAATCATTCTCAATTAAAAGACAAAATAAAAGATTTCAACTATTTTCACCTGCTGATTGATATGAAAGAGCGTGATTTCCTATCACTGAAGATAATCATTATTGATTAAATAGACGAAATAAAAGATTTCGTCTATTTCATTTCAAATATTTGTGAAACTTCACAATGTCAAAAGTAGATTATCGTTTATTGATATAAAATTTCACGCTCAATTTCAAATTTCGTACATTTATATATCAATATAGAAAACAATACGTGCTAACGTGAATCACGTTATAATGTTTGTCATAAAAATAATTTTGATATAAGTATTAATGTAATAAAAAGAATTATTTTTTTTTTTTTTATTTTTTTTTTTTGATTAAAACCTTTCTCAAATGCTTCGACAAATTACTTTTGATTTTATAACAATACGTTATAAAATAAAAACAAATTCGTACGAATTAACGAAGAAAACTAAAAGGGAGTGAGAGGTTTCGAGACAGGCTTTTCTCTCTCTCTCTCTCTCTCTCTCTCTCTCTCTCTCTCTCTCTCTCTCTCTCTCTTCCCCCTCTCTCTCTCTTTCAAAATGTCAATGAAACAGTTTCCATTCTCGTCTATTTGAGAGAACAACACACAAGGCAAGCCATTACGCCCAGATTCGTCCGAGCGGAGAAGAAACGAAGAACGGAGAAGGCAAAGGAACATAACGCGCAGACTCGACGATCGGGCATAACCTTTGTGAGCTGCAACCGGATGATGTCATGCTGAGCCTCCGCACGCACTACAGGGATCCGTACTCGTATTACGGACGAGGTGAAAAATGAATATGATTACGAGGATGGTGAGGCATAGTCAAGGTCAATCGTCCTGTTGCAACTCATCGTACATTGCATATACATCTCGAATACGGACTTGCAAGTATTTTTTTTTTTTTCCTTTTTTTTTTAATGCCCTCTCGTTTGTAAAATGACGTCATCGTAGAGATCGAGAGAGAAAGAGAGAGAGAGATAAGAAATCGGAAAAAAAAAATAAAAAGTATAATAATTGAAACAATACTAATGATATGTACACGTGTAAAGCAAACGATAAATAGATTTACCTGTTTGTAAATTGAAATCTTTTAGGAATCAAATTAATTGTGATAAAAAAAAAAAAAGAAAAAAAACAGTTAGAGATTCCAGATAAACACACGTCGATTTATAATACATATATAAAGAAAAAAAAAAAAAAAAAAAAAAAAAAAAAAAGAAAAATGAAGATAAAAAGGACCAAGGTGTTTGATCTTGTAAAGGCGACTCATTGAATTCTTGATTCGTAGGAAGGACTATTAAGAACGTAAATATACACACATACATATATACATATATATATAAATATATATACATATATACATATATATATAAATATATATACATATATACATATATATATATACATATATATATACTATATATAGGACTATATAATCGAGGTTACTACGTTCCTCGTGCGTTCGTTACGCTCGAACGAGCATGGAATATTTGATCAAATCGAATTATGTAAAACGAATTTGTTCCTCCTATGTTGTTTTTCTTAAACGATTAAGATAGATACACACACATATATATATATATATATATATATATATATATACATATTTTGTTAGAAAGTCCTTATCCTAATCGGAGAAAGTTAGAATGATTTTCCAGGATATTCGTATAATTTCTTCGAGTTAGATACGACTGTAACTAAGTGTAAAGGAAGTCATGGGGACGCGAGAGACGTCTCGAGAAGATCGTTTTTCTGTCGTGTGACATCCTTACTACGACCGGCTTACTAACCTCCGCGTGTCTTAGCTTAGCAGCTCTGAATCGGGTGCATAAAACTCGCGAGAGAAAGCGCGTAAGAAGAAAACATTGTGGATGTGTATAGAAAAGATGGAAAAAGAAAAAAAAAGAAAAAGAAAGAAAGAAAAAAAAAAGAAAGGAAAAAAGATAAAAAAAAAAAAAAAAACAGGAAAAAATAGCTTATCGTTAGCTTATTTTCAACATGAACAATAATTGAATTAAGAGATAATCAAAATGACATTGAGATAATCGTAACGATAAAGAAAAGAAAAGAAAAGAAAAAAAAAAAAAAAAAAAGAAGAAGAATGTTACGCCATTTACTCCTTAAACCATTTGCTTCGTCGAATGAAAATAATTAAATAATCGAAATAATCGAATGCATAATACAGTAATACAAGTGAATGAACGTGTAATAAATACGAATCTCGTATATTCGTAATATAATGATGTATTATGAATAATATATAATAGAAAAAAGGATAATTTAAATTGGTACGGATGAGTGTTTGAAGTTAGGAAAAAAATATTGTAACTTGTGGAAAATTACTGACGTAGATATAATATTGAAAATTGATTTTCTTTGTTACTTCTTTCATACTCTTTCTATTTCCTTTAGATTTCGAAGACCAGATTGTTCTCGTTTTAATCAGTCGAAGTAATCGAAGAAGATGTGCATGGTAAGGTATAAAAGGGAATGAGATAAAGCTACCGGTTCGCCTCGTTCCTTCCTAATCATTTCTTCAAAATGACCGTGTGCTCACGGGAAAACTGACCTGGTAAAAGGGAGAGAGATGTTATCGTTACACCGGAGCCGTCACGGAATGGTTTTTAAACGAGGGAAGGCAAAAGATAGAGATAGAGAAATACAGAAGAAAGAGAAAGAGTGAGAGAGAGAGAGAGGGGGGGAGAGGTAGGGAGGTAGAGAGAGAGAGAGAGAGAGAGAGAAAGATGGATTTTACGAGCTGCCCTGGAATGTCAAAATGGGGAGTGAAAGAACCCCGGGAGGGAAATCGAGAAACGCATTATTGTTTTCCACAGTTTAACCGTACTCTCCATATTAATGTACGCGTTTTATGTATATATGTATGTCTGTTACTCGTGGTTTAAAGCAAGTTGGAGAGCTTCGAAGTAGGCGAAAGAGTCTTTATTTGGATCGGCTTGCAGTGAGTAACGGTTTGCGAGTGAAAGGAACAGTTGATAAGAAATGGCCGAGGTGTATGTACCTGCTTCTCCATCTGTAAAAGGGAGTAAGAGATAGACAGAGGTAAAGAGAGAGAGAGAGAGAGAGAGAGAGAGAGAGAGAGAGGGTATTATGTTCTCAACGCAACTACAATCGAACTACATACCGATCGTTACTTTTTATTTTAAACCCTTACGAATTCATAATAACAAACTTGTTTCGATGGAATTAAAATCATATTGTTTTAAATATATCCTTGAATGATTAACCTTCATTTTTAAAATCTAGTTATATGTTCGTTGTATGCATATCGTTGACTATCCTTGCTCGATACAACTACGAAGGTTATCTTCTTAAAACTCATGGGAATCAAACTCATGGGAGAGGAGTTGACCTTGAAACTAGTGCCGTAAAAATAGAATTCGTACGAATTTTTTTGCCAAACGTTAACGTGATTCGAATATATTAAAAAAAAAAAAAAAAAAAAAAAC